AAGTATTTTTGCAATAAAGTTCATTATACAGCACTCCTCAGAGAGGGGACTGAGCAAAAGATCAACTTTCTCCTAGGCCATCTTTTGGCTAAGCAGAAGTTAATTCACACAGCTAACAAGAAACGCCAATTATTTTTGCAATAACACTAAAAAACTGCTGCCCTAATCTAATTTTAATGAAGTTACTGTCATCTCATGAGGGAAAAAAAAAGCCTTTGTATTCTTTACTTTCTCCTCTAAATGGGAAGCTTTGAGACATAGTATCCGCATTATCCCTTTATATGAGATAGGTTTCTCCAACCTCTCTCCCTGCACCAAGTGAAAGATACTTTAGGGATCAGAACCACAAGATTACTGGGGAGAGGGGAAGAGCTGAGTATTTCTCTTAAACATCAGCCTCTCGACTAAAAAGTCAGAGAGACTGGAGGGGAAAAAGAAATACATGTAAATACATACCATGCCATAGAGGAGATCTAAAGCTCTGAGTCGGATGGACTCATCTTTGTCATCCAAACATTGGAGAATGAGATCCTTGTGAGACTGAACTGACTTGGGATGTGTTTTCAGGATTTTGGACATAGCTAACAATCCCAAGTATTTCACTGTGAAAGACACAAAATAAAACTTCTTTCCAAATATAGAAATACTGTTTTGTGTTGAGCACGAAATCTTAATGGGTGCTTCTACTTAACCCCCCGATTTTAATACACTGAAATAAAACTCTGATGAGGAGAGAAAGAAATGTCCTAATCACAGGTGGTATTCCTTCATTTTGCAATATCACAGATAGGGACATAACTGCATAGGCATCTTTACCAGTCTTGTTTTGCCACGACAGAAATTATTGATCCTGAGATTCTGTGTTGTATTAAAACTGCACACGTTTTAGAGATCCCATCTTATTAATGCTATTAAGTAGGAGCCCTGCTCTCAAAATCCAACAAACAATAAAACCCCCCAAAACGCACAGAAGGCAGCAAGAAGTTTTGCATAAGAAAGAATGGCTTTAAGGAGCAAAGTGTATTCAAAACAAACAAAAAGGAATCACCCTTCCTGCATGTTACTATTATGCTTACACTACAAAATATCCCTCACTACTTTCCAAGCAGAAAGGTTTTAAAGAGCAAAAGGCCAGAGCATGGAAATAGCAATGTTTTAGATTTACAAGACCACAAACAGCAATAATTCCTGTCTTTTAAAAAGACTCCTTACAAGTGTTCACTACCCAAAATTACTTCCAGCAATTGTTTACAACATACCAGACACTATTATACTGAGCAAGCTCTTTGGAGAAGCAGCTCATTGCTCTACAACTGCTGCAGTTTCTCTCCAGTGGTTGTTCACTACAAGTTTCCACAAAGATAAGCAACATACTTACAGTTCTGGTCAGAATCTTCTATTAATATTCTTAACTTCTGAACACAAAGCTGAAAAAAGAAGACTGGGTCATGCTTGTTATAGAAGCCTTAAAAGTCTTTAAAACATTTCTTAATAGAGCACATTCAGTATGCAGGGGTGGCTCTAATAAACAAAGTATGCTGACCAAGACCCTTCTAGCTTCTAGGAAGCCAGCCTTGCTGCACTAGCAGGTTTTAAAACTAAAAGAACAGTTCTCATGATTGCAGTGATAGCAGCAGATGAATATTACAGTTAAGGAACCTCCAAATGAGAAGAACCTGCATTTCATAACAAAGGAAATTAGAGAATCTATAAAGAAAATACTTCAGTCATTAAGACTCCAGCTAAGTGAGAGCACTTCAGTGAGGCACTACTTGGGACTCATGGCAGAACCACCCAATTCAATTTCCCCATGGCCTTTAGTAGAGCAGAACAAATAACCAACTTCCCACCCCAATCCCAAGCGCTGTACCTGGATGCTAGCACTATGATTAGGCATCCCAGAAGACAGAGAGATCAAAACTGAAACACAGAAACAAAAGTTTTAGATTTTTTCCTGTCTTCTCAATTATTGCTTACATTACAACACAAAACATAAAAGTCAACAGTTTAGTTCACAAGGAAAGATGTCTCCTTGCCGACCCATGTGTGTTGTTACAGGAACTAGTTGTGTATACTTTTATAACACTAATAAAGAGCAGGACAAGAAAAAAAAGGCAAAGGCTGGAATTGTTAGAAGTCAGGTCACAGCTGCTTTTCATTAAGTTTTGCTCTCATTAATGTTTATTTCATTAATATCCTGTCACAGCCAAGACTAAATCAGCTGTCATGAGCTACTGCAGAGCTGAATTAAGTGCATGCTCCCCTAACATAACGAATTTCAACAACTGATTCTAGATTTCAGTGTAATTACACTGAAGTTGTAATCAAGTCAGCAGAGACTTGGGGCAAAAAATGGGTCTTCAGGTTGATTATACCGGACACTTGTAAAGCTCTGGCCACAAGAAACCTCAAGCAGAAAAAGCAGCATTTATCTCAGTAACTGCTGTTGCCACAGAGCACGTCCAAGGACAGCAGGAACAGCAACTGCCTGGATGAATCAGTGTTGAATCAGGGACATCCTTCAAGGAATCGCACCAAGACTTTAAGCCATGAAGAAGCAAAGGTAAATCTACTCCTCCCCAAACAAGAAACTTTGTCAGGACTACAAGAGCCATCAACCCTATTTTAATTTTATTGCTACTGACATATTTGATAGTTCTAGCAATATTTAGGAGTCTGTGCACAAA